CCAGGCCCCGCCAAATCGGCTTTCATGGTATTTGGGCGGGGCCGTGCTAGCACGAACACCATTTTCACGTTGGCGAGGCCAACCTGCCTCGCGTGCAGAGCTACGCTTTCCCAGGCATCACTTTTGCACGACAGGCTTTAGTGTGGGTTACAACTCGTGTCCGCTGGCCCACAGCTACAACGTGTTCAGGCCCGCCTATGGCAGTGGGGCCGGCGATTACTGGTATGGCCTCCTGGCAGTCCCGGCATCGTTGTCCAAAGCCATTTAATAAGGTTGGCATGATGCCGACTACGCACCGTTGTCGGGCCGCCAGCCTGTGCGCACGTCTGCTGAGTTTGCCGGTAAAGTGTTATGCCGGACACATGGCGCGGCATGCAAGTTGCCAACCCTACCCTTGGGTCCATTCCATCTCAGTCGAGGTCTGCAACACAGGCGTCCCGCATCGCATGATTCTGGAAACCCTGTGAGGTTTGAGCACCGCACCCTCTCCAGCCGACATCAAACGCCTTTCACGTGTCACGAAAATACAGAACGTACGGCTACCCTGTCGTATTCGAAGCGTCTCACACAAAGTATAAATGGAACATCCGAACCCCAGCGAAAACCTGTTTGTGAATTATTCCCCTGTGGGTCAACTACCGGCTTGGTGGGATTCTAATCAAAACCTCAAGCGCTTTGGCAAAGCATGACGTGAGTGTGATGGGCCGATACTCGTAATGTTTCGTGGCAGTTGGCGTGTTATCTAGAGGGACAACAATTCCATGCTTGCACATGGATAGTATGCAACCATACGAGCGACAAAATTCCAAAAAAAACATCTTAATGCACAAGGCTCTGTAAGGAATCTGGTCCATACCGTTACCGGAAGTCCTCACAATTTTGCAGACATGTTGTCCAAGTTGTTGTCGGGACACGTTCACCATGCGGGAACGTTTTTGTTTTGGAGCTTTGGCAGCGGAGTTTTTGAAACAAACACTTCATGAATTTCTACACGTTTTAATGGAGTTATGTTACCATGTTTTCGTCACAGGTGATGTGCCACATACATGGAAGAGAATCATGTTTCGAATGCTGGCCCAAAAATTGCAAATGATTTTCATCCTGTTGCTAATCTGCGGTTTTGTTACACAGTCACTCTGGTACATGATCTTTCACAGACTTGAGTCTGTGTGGAAGCCGGGCAGCCGGAAGAACAATTGGAGTTTAGGCGCATTCGTCGGATGGAACGCAGCTGTTGATGGCAAATCTGGTTATCGACAAAACCCGTGCCTCCAACGTTCCCTTGTGGATTTTGAATTCGGATCAATCAAAAGCAGTTGGTAGAGTTGATTGGGGTACGTTGTGGCCATATCTCCGTGCTCAGGGCGTCTCCGCCCAAATAATTTGGATACTGCATGTTTCTGCTTCGGACAGCAGGGCGTAGCAATGTCGACTGAAGATTATATCAGGAAATTTCACATCCGAGCTGGTGTCCAACAAGGATGTGTTCTGCGTCCAGATTTGTTGTGTGCGGTGTTAGAATGGGCTATGCGTGATTGGAATGCGCATGGTCATTGATTGGGAGATTAACTGCGGGCACATCAATACCCTCTGGTGGACCTCAACTTCGCCAATGATTGTTAGATTTTTGCATTTTCAGTCAAACAATCCATGGACATGTTGCGATCACTGGTTGGTGCTCTACGGAATGCGGGCCTTATCCTGAACGTGTCGAAAACGGAGCTGTGCCGTCTTTGCTTGTCAGGGGACCAAGACGCGGACGTTGAATTCCATTTCCCTGCAGCAATCTGTGCGTTCTGGGCCAACGAACGGAGTTTATGCGACAAGCATGAGCCAGTCGCACTGCGCATCAAATTTTTCGATCACACCGGTTGCCTGTTTGGGGGGCAAGGCATCGGAAGATTTTGAATTTTGCTTTGCGCCTGCGCCCTTTAGGGGCTGCCTATTGGCATGCGGGTTAAACCGGGTTGACTGAATGACTGACTGTCACGAACACGGAATCAACAAGAATCCTAATGATAAAAACTATGCGAAACAGACCCAATACGAAAAGTATCCAACCATTATCCCTGCTCTGCATAAGACTAGGATGGCATGTGTGCTGAATTGAGGGCTATCCACCGCACCAAATTCTGGGTTGCCGTCGCGCCAAAAAGGCGATACCAGCATGACATTGCAGTATGAGGCCCCGCCTCGTGCCAGCCTGCTGTCGCCTACAAAGGTCCAAACGTCTGCGGTCGTCCGGAACGACCCCTGACGTAGTCGGGTTTGCTAGCCGATTCTGCGGGATGACACCACGACGTGGATCCACGCCGTCTCAAGCACGAAGCCGCGATGAGCGAGGAGGCCTGTGCGCGCATGAGCAACCCGGCATTCTGGAGCGATGGGATCAGGCGCAAGAAAGAATGGGGAGAAAAACAAACAAAAACTCTTGTTGAGACAGACCAAGGAGCGGTCGCAGGATACTCATAAAACTTGCAGATGTGTGAGAACACGCGATACCATGGTCGCTCACGTGCTGACAGTGCATTTGCAGTAGGCACTGTACGTGTTTACAGTGGCGGAAACACCTGCCTCGGTTACCTGATGCGTCCTGCCCCGAGCAGCCACAGCCGAACACGCGCATGCGCACGTTGCGGCTGTTGCCAGGTGCCTTGCCTCCCTTGTATTGCGGACGACCCGCTGCCTCACCATTCCAACCGCGCAGCCCACTTCGTGCTACGGCGCCATCGCCTTGCGTGAAGCAGCGTCCAACTTGCATGCAGCCTGGCGGCTTGATACCCTCCCGGCCATGCGCCTATCGCTCATTCGCCTTTGCGCGATCCATGCGACCCCAGCGCTGGGCATGTGCCATCGGTTACCACAGTAGTCCAGGCTGCTGTTTACCTCCGCGCATAGGGTTTCAGCCTCCAGCTCCGTTGAGCAAACGGATCGCGGTGACGAATCGGCCGGCTTCCTGCGCGGATGGCCACCTTGGGTCGTCCACGTCGGCGCGCTCTCCAGGGCAAGTCGGTTATGAACATCGACGTGCTTGTGCAGGATGCACGATGCATAAAGGTCGTCTGCAATGGCCTTGTCAGCCCTCTCTCCCGAGGAGGTACGCCGAGTCTCCTGCGGATGCTGAACCTGAGGTCACCTTGCGCAATCAACGTCGCCGCATGTAGCTGGAGCTCAGCCGCGCGGCCTAATGCCGCCTGATTGTATTTGGCATCGAAATCAAGGGGTCGTTGGCATCGGAAGCATCAACCTTCCTGCATTTGCTATTACGCACGCGCGTGCCACCAGCGCCCCTGCTTGTCCGTCCCGAAAACGCAGGGGCTCGGTGTTGGAGCACCTGATCTCCGTGGTTTGCGCAAGGATTCTTTCGTGTAACTTCGAGACGATGTTCTAAAAGCGTCAAAGCTGTGTGAGTGATTCTGATCGCACATTTGCCTGTCCCCTTCACCTTCCCCTCAACTCCCATCGTTCGCCCACACACAGAACTCCTTCATTGTGTTGGTGAAGTGCAAAACTCTCGTCGCTCTTGGAGCCTCGAGGTGGCAAAATGCAGAACCGTCTTCGCTTTTGGAGCCTTGGTGGGGGGGGGGAGGATGCAGCCCTCCCCCATTGATGAACGTAGTAGTTTACTATGAAGATTCATTGTGAGACACACTGCGGGGTTATGTCTCAAATAGCGCAGGGGATGGGGGGTGCGCAAGTTGCTGAGGAGGATTCTTTGCAGCACTTCTTGCTTCCTTGTAGCCCAGAACGTGCAAGCACCAATGATAAGTATTCATGCTATCAGTATTGTTAGCATTACTGTATTGTCAATATCAGAATAACAGTCCTGAACTATCACAACCTAAAAGCAGCTACAATGATCAGTATAATCACTATGATCACCACGACAACCATGGATGATAGAGTTTCTATGAGCAGTACAATTGCAAGGACTGCTGTGAACATGATCATTACCATGATTGCTACTTTTACTGCTCTTTGGAGGTTCCTGTATGGTGCAAGACTGATTAGAGGACCAAGGACCACAGGACCAGGGGATCGGAACTGCCTGGGCCTTTACGATTCTCTAGGTCTTTTTCTCAGCCAACTTTGCAATTTCTAGCATTGATGCTTATCAATTTCTTGCCTAATGCTTATCTTTATTTCTTGATTCTTTCGTCTTTTGATACGCTTGCCATGTACGGAAGTGCGCTGGACTGTGGGTCTAGACGAAGAAATCAGAAAACTGACTTCGGCGACGCTGCCCGTACTGAGTACTGGCGGAGCCACGACTCGCGACACGAACTTGCGAGTTAGCGCCAGTGGAAAAGGATTTGCATATGCTGTGTCGGTGTCAGAAAAACTCTGCCCCCGCGCAGTGATTCGTGGAGGTGTCAAGGTTGCTCCTGGCGCTCAGGCATGCGCCAAGGATACGGGCTGACCGACACCCTTTTGACAATGGATGTGCTCTTGCCGACATGTCAGGGCTGAGAAAACGTTGGCGACCATCCGCAAAGATGAAAGCTGGAGCGGAAGTTCTTTGCTGCAACTTCTGCTCGCAGCCACAAACTGCCTAGCACAAGGCCCTTGTTCCGCACTGACAAGTTGGATCGACAGCCAAATTCATCATCGCAAGCATTTGAAGTTCTGCCTACGACGCCATTGCCTGCTGTCCTTTCGTGTCTCGCCGTGCCGTGCCGAGAATCGTTATCTTCTGTGTTGTGGCTCTTTCCTGCTAAATCGTCGTGTATCAACTCGTCGTCTGGCCCATCAACAGAAGCTGTCATATGGAGACGTTGGCAGGGATAAGATCAAAAGCATGACTGAGCATGTACATGTACGAGGTAGCCTATCTTCTGCTCTGTTCATGGTGCTTTGTGGCGACGTTGCAAATGGACGCCTGGCCTCAATGAGACTTGGTGCTTCCTAACCACCAGCTGACTTGTAAGCAATGCAACTTGAAGGTTGCCAGGGAAGGGCCGCCTCTACGCTGCAGTTGACTGACGTGCATTCCGAGGTGCTGCTTGTAATCCACTGAAGTGCGAAGGTGAGAAGCAAGGCACCGACCAGATTGTACCTTTCCATGTGACTGCTGAGCGACCTTTGATGCCAAAGAAGCTGTGGACCGGACATGTCCATCCGGCCTGCCAACCACATGCAGCTGAACGACTTCTTAGATTTCGGTAGCATGCAGGTGCACTGTAGCTGCACAAATCCAAACAGATGGGGTGACCTATGGTGAGTTGCATCAGGTCTGCTAAGTCATCGCGATGCAGACTTTGTCGTTGGACCTGCTCAAGACGCACTGGAAAGCGCATCACGGTACCGAACAACCTCGCCTTGTAATCGTAACGATCATGTTTCCTACAAATGTGGCTTCTCTTCTCGGCAATGCAAGCATTCCAAACCATAAGCCATTGGAGCCATCCTCTGGAAGGATTGGTCGACTTGAGCACCACGTCCAGAGGTGGCCAGTCCTCGCTGTTGAATGCGCGCTAGCAAGACATGGTATCTTGTTCCATTTCTGGGATGCGAGCCAGTTGTCATGCCCACCACATCCCAATTTGCCGTGGTAAAGGCAGCAGCCCCCAGTAGGCCAGCACCAAGCCCGGCAAATGTCTTAGCCAACACGAGCTCAGAGATCATGTGCTACAGGGCATGTCATCCAGGTGAAAACTGCTGCCAGGACACCATGATGCACCAGGTGGCAAGTTGCAGGCCAACAACGTGATACAAGGCAGGGAGCACGACTCGGTTAGCTGTAGCCTAAAGAAAGGTGGCTTTCACATTCTTCTCACTTCTGGAGACGGAAGCCGCAGTTGGATCTACTCTCGCCGCCTCAACAGCATGGAAGATTTAAGGTGCACGAAGCTGCTGCAGTGACATACATGGGAGCTGGACACGCTCTGAGCCAAAGCTTTGCTGCTGATCAGGTTGCACGTCTTTCGCTTGTCTTGGAACTTTAAACTTCTACTCTTGCTTGCTTGAGGTCATTACATCATGTTGTGGCGATGGCGGCACGAATGTGCTGCTGGCAACAACTGAGCTGCCATGTTGTATCTCTGTGTCGAAATGCGCAACTTGCTGTTGCGGTGGGTTCCCTTGTTGCCCGCTGATGTTGACCCGCGGCCACCCCCAGCACCACCCAAATGCTCGCTGGAATTTCGTGCCCGCAGGCAGGCTTGCCACAGTAGAAGGTCCCGACAGAAATTCAGTTGGCTCTTGAGGAGCGCCTGAGCCTTTCTACAGTAAGGAGCATGGGCTCTGGCGTGTTTCCGTCAACATCATCATCTTCTGCTCGGGCGGAAAGCTACGTCTCGCACAGCAACCCGGTCTTTACTAGCACAACACTTACAAGCCCAACAAAGCAAACGTGACTGCTGGCTCATATGAGTGCTCTCGGCTGTGGACCCTGTCTTTGGAGGGCGGACAATCGTTTTGATGCAGCCACTTTATCCTGATGTGTATGAAGGACGACTTTTGCACTCGCATCTTACGAGCGGTCACTTGGAAGCAGTGGAGCTTGGCTGAAGCCTTGCGCACATCTGGATTCTCGTGCAAATGCTGCATCATTTTGAACGTATCCTATGCGTGCACATGACTGGAGAAGCTAATTTCCCTTCGCAACTTGAGTCTCGCTTGTAGTGCATCCAATTTGTTATTCACTTTTTTGATTGCACAGAATTGCTCATAATCCAGGATTGTAAGGGCTGCTCAAATGACCTGAAGGCTTGTCAATCTCGCTGCACGTCGTTCTCGCATGAGCAAATACTGGTACATACAATACTGGCACTGAGAGTCAATATGAAAGGTTGTGACATGCAAGCACGTCAAAGCTGCCCTTCACGTCCTGCATGCATGACCGGTGTCTACACAGGATGTTTTGGGCGGTTTAAGCTTTTGCAGGAATGGGGGCTCTCGCCTGCACCAGCTGACTAAGTGCAGGGCGGAGTTGTCAGCAAGCCTAGAGCAAGGGCGGAATTTGATTTCGTCTTTTGAGGGCTTGGATGGGTGAATACCTTTCAGTCAGTGGAAGTCTTCTGCGAAGCGGGATTTCTGAGCCTGTTGCTGCTCTGCTTTGACACTGCGAATGGCGGAACAAAGATCTGCGGCTTGAGAGTGTTGATTTCTTCCAGTCCACTGTTCAGAATTGATGGCTGTTCCAAAGCTACAAGTAGGGTCTTGCATACATACGGCAGTACTTGGACTGACAACGCATGGAAAAGGGATGTAATCTTCTAGGGGGCACGTACCCGGAAACAGCCCTTAGGTGCTCCCTGTGCGCAATCCATGCGCCGCTCGAGGACTCGCTGAATATAATCCCTATCAGATAATCAAGTCAATGGGGAAAAGATTCATAGGGTACCCTAAGAATCTGCCTCCTCGCGGATGGTCAAACTCTCAGGCTGCACCCGGCATTGCAAGCTCTTCCCCCTGAGGGATGCAGAGTAGCCAGATTAAGGCAATCTAAGCTTCAAGGCTTGAAACAAGAGGTTGAGGTTCAAGGGATGGGTCAAGAGCCTGTGCTCCGAGACTTCTGCTCGAACCTGCTGCAGGCCACAGGCACCTTCAAGCCTTAAAGCTTTGAATGCGTTCGTTCAGACTTTGTCTTTCCATCGGGGCAAGAGAGCCAAAGACTTGAGTGAGAACAAATACCCACCAATGTTGCACAGACTTTGCACAGGAGGGCAGTCTGTTTGTTTCATAGCCCTGCTTGTCAACTAAGCCCTAAGCCCCATGTATCTCATCATGCAACCATGCCGCTTGAGCTATCTGAACCATGAGGTCAAAAATCAGATCAGAATGCCCAATTGAATCTGGAGATGTAACACTCCAAAGACAACAAAGCTCACCCTGTATTCGTATCTCACTTCACGAATTGATGCTGAATCATGGCTCCTCAGCATGCTGAAGCTGTTTGAAAAGACCTCGGCAAGCAGGGGCAGGGATTCTCTTCCCACTTGAGGTTGATGCGACAGGTTTTCCGGCTTTGGTGAAGAGGTTTTTCTCTTGAGCTTGGATCCCAAGCCAAGCTTCCTACAACATAAAGCTTCCGGCAAGAGCGCAGTCGCTCTCCCAAGGATCAACATGTGAAGTAATCAAGCCAGGTAGCACCGTCCAGCTCCTTTCTCCGGAAAGCTGTCCCCGAAAAGCTACTGTAACATCCCTTGCCAGGACACACAAAATCTAGGTTCTGCTTTTCGTGCTCATCTTCCGAGCTCTGTCTCAGTTGAAGTGGCTAGGGCTCGAGAAGCTTTATCATCCCCACATCATCCCCACGTACAATTGTTGCGAGCCCCATGCCATCACAGACCCCAACCCTATATAACCCCTATATAGCCCCTATATAATCCCTATATAACGCGAGGCTCCCAAGGGTTCGAAAAGGCTCCAAAGGAAACTCCTGGGCCCATGGCCAGCTCGAGGCTGCCTGCTTCCAGGGTCCCGGAGGATCCCTCGCAAGGGCCGTCCTGGGCCTCAGCTTGACTGGGGAACAAATTTCATTGTTACTATTATTATTACTGTTATTACTATTGCTGTTACTAGTATTACTATTATTACTGTTTTTGTTGTTCTTGTTAATATTTTTATTGTGAGAAACTGAAACTATACTATGTTACTCAGGGCCTACGAACAAGCTAAGGGATCATGGGGCCAATTTTCTTTGGGAGTCTGCTCCCTGCTCAATTGGGTAAAATTGACGGATCCATCCCCCAGGTTCCAACTCAGCGTGAAGCCATGTCGTCTTTTGAGGAAGCTAGACTACACGCAACCACAGGGATGACGGCACCAACCATGGCACTCGCTTCTAAAGTATCATTGAGAGCAGACTGGGCAGAACGGCCTGGTGCTGCTCCACACGTTGAAGCTCCTGCGACTCGACGCCTCCAAGCGCTCTTCGTGTTCAGGATTTCACGTCAAGAATCAGTATGGAGTTCTTAGGTGCCGGTGATGTTTTATGACCGTGAACTTATCTTACTTCTGCCTACGCAATGACAACGCCTTCCACACTTGCTTCTGTCTCCCCGGCCTTCTTTCTTCGGCGTGAAAATTGCAACCTTGGCCAGCATGCTCAAAATGAAGTTGTTGAGCAAAAGTGAAAGGATGCTTCTTGCAAGGATGTCCTATGATGTTCACCCCAACTCCTTTGCCGCGTGTTCGAGATCATCCCTCCGCTCCACCCTTCGACAGAGCAAGATGACACCAGGCTTGTGCTCGGTGGCCGGCAAAGTCGATGGTGAAACCGTTGAGGATAAAATCCCACTGCACAGACGTGCCTGCTCGGATCAAAGAGCTCTGTGGTACATGACTGTGCCACATTTCAGAACACTATTCCTAATGCTGTTTTTTTTGTTGCTGCCCATCCTAGTCCTCTGTGCCCTCCGCTTCCTCTCCCACCATCTCCCCCCCACACTTCCACCACCATTACACCTTTACACCTTACTTCCTGCTCCTCCCTTTTTCAGGGCAACCACGCGTACAGGGTGCAGTGGCAGCCTTCTTCGACATCCACCACAAGCCGCACTTTGCTTCTCGCTGCGACCTCAGAGAAGAATGCGGAAAGCTTCATGTTCCACAAAACCGTGGTCTACCATTCGTGCGCAAATTTCCCTTGTTGAAGTCCTCGTCTGTTCTTCCTTCCTGGATTGCAACAATCCAGCTCTTCGCAAATTAGAAGCTCTGAACGCAGAACGTATGACATCTCACACCTAACAGCCGCTCTGAGCATACTGTAAGCTTCTAGGGTTCGCGGAGTCACCTTCCCTGAGGCTCCCGACCGATATCTCTCCTGAGCTCGGGACTGGACATGAAAAAGCACCAGGTATGAGGTCCAAGATTTACAGCGTAAAAGTTTACGGCTCTACGGCTGGCCCAATGCTCCCAGCAGTAACAATATATGCCCGGAATGATCATTGATATCGCGTGTGGCTGCTTTTTCTGATATTTGATTCAAGTTGACGTGACAAGTCTCGGGAACTCCCTTGTCACACATTTAAATTTGATGTAAGATGTCAGGAGCGCTATGTAACCAAATTGACTAAATACTCGCTCTTGTACGTCACAGCATAAGCCGCGTGGCGGTAGCTCTCCTCAAACTCGGCCCCAACAAGGAAGCGAAGGTGAGTTGCCTGTAGAGGCAATACGTATCCGCAAGCTGATCACTTTGTTTCAGGTGGCTCAGGAGCCTGCCTTAAACTCCACCTGCTTCTGGAAAAAGTGGTCGCTCACGCTCAGGGAGGACAACTTTGTCAGCGCCTGCGTTTCATGGTGTTGGAGGCTTTGGATTTTGTTGCTCGACATGTTTTCATATCATGATAATTTCCTCTGCTCATTGCTATTTTCACTTCTGGAACCATGACTGCTCTCATGTGTTCTCATGACGTCTGTTACGTTATGACACTACTATCACTGCCATGAATTTGTGCATTGGGCCAAATGCATCAGCTACGCAGAGACTCACGTTCGGTTCAGATGTTGAAGTTCACAGGTTCGGGGCCAAGTGCTTTGCGTGAAGCAAGGACGGCTCCCTCATGCATGTTCTCCACAACAACGCCTCAAAGGCGATCAAAGCCTTAAATCTGCGGGCTATGGGTCTGACCCTTCGTGGCCCGAAGGTACACCAAAAAACAGATTACACTAACCCAACCTCCTGCTATACATTCGCCAGTGCTGCGCCCTAGGCCCTACACCCTACACCCCACACCCTGAATGCTCGAGAAGGCCCAAGAGGCCCTTACGGAACCCCGGTCCAAGACGCCTCTTGCGCTAAGCTCGGTCGGCCCAGGGCATATTGCGAGTAGGCGAGGACCAGGTGGCAAAAGTGGAGGCAGCCTCACCAATGAAACTGTTGCAGCCGGTACGAAATAGTAAGGAAAGAAGCAGCCTCTCCAAAGGAGTCTTAAATACTTGTGACGAAAGAACAAACACATGTTAAACCAGAGGACGTATCGGCTTGCAAGGTTTGAAGCAATGGTGCATGCTCGTCGCCAGTTCACTTTCTAATGCGTGCACGTTGTGTTGCAAGGCCGTTTGTTGTCTGTGTAACATAAATGTTGGCCTATCCTCATGTGTTATCTTGTGAAGTGGGCTCGTCATAGCCTGCCGAAACTCAAGTTAACGAGCTCGCGAACAAGCTCGTCCGTTTGTCACTTAAGCTGTAGCTTTGCGGAAAACATTTAGCAATCATTCCTACAAATCCCTCCCTTGGTTGCCTCTTGGAACCTGCCTCCAATACTAATCAGGGCTCTGCTGCCCTGCCTGTCTTCACCCCCGCCGGTGAGAGCTGAGGTTGCAAGGCCTCGGCACAGGAGCTCGGAAAACACCTAAAGATTCTTTTTGTTTCTGCTTAAAAAAAAACTTCTTCACCTCCAAGCCGCGATGCCCTCACCGGCGAGGCGCAGGGCTTCGTCCCAGTTTTCCGACTGGCGCATTGCCTGACAACTAGCCCAGTTGCGCAGCTTCATCCACAAAGTAGACCGAAGGGATTGTGGTAATTAGAACTTGAAGTTCTGTGCCATCTTCCACACGCGGTAATATGCTGGAGCTGCGGGCTCGACAAAGTAGGGGTAAGTTACCCTTGAGTTACCCTTGTGGCTACACCTCTTAACACATAGGATTTGAGTAGGATCAGGAGATGTTCAATTGTGCCCCAATGAGACGGACAGCAAGGATCTCAGTTCGCCCTGTACAATGTGCTTCAAATTCTTTGAGGTGATGTCTCAGCTGTGCTATAGGTGCCTCACTGCCGCAGTGATACCTGCCACCACAACGTTCAACCCAAACATCCGAGCGCCCATAAGCAAGGCCTCAGACCCAGAAGACTCAGCCTGAGTCCACAAACTTGTCACCTGCGCACTGCCTGCCTCCGCTTGGATGCAGAAGGCCATACACTGGCCTGGGCTCCACCAGTTTTACAACACTGGTTCCTACCAGGAGGATCTGTGCCCAGCGCTGCGGATCAGGTAAGTGGGTCACCGTCTGCGTCTTCGTGGTTCCTTGCCTCGTCTTGCACCATCTGAAGGAACTCCTGGAAGTGAGTCGCCGAATGACAACGGGAATTCAGAGCAGTGTTTAGCCAAGACTGCTCTACATCATGGCGACGTAGTTCTGAGACTCACATACCTCCAAGACAAAATGCTATCTTAGCTCAGAAGGAATCCAAAGAAGATTCACAAACCCTTCGGCCAAATCAACTTCAGATCGGCGAAATCAACTTCAGAGCACTACAGCTCAATTGCTCCATGGTCCTGGGCTGCTGCGTGCTGCATGAAATTCACGCCACGGTACACACAGGAGATCTGTCGTGGCCAAAACAAGATGTTGGAGAGGGGCTTAGGGCCGAGGAGCTTGCAACTCAAAAAATCAGATTCATGGCTTGGGGTTCTCTGAAGAGTCCCAGTTGGGAGCTGCGTTGGTTTTTCAGATGTGAGAAAAGGTGGCGCTTCAGCAAAGACGTCTCACAAAGCAGTGCCTCTCACCCAGATTTGGCACGGCACATAGGAGTTTCTCAACGCCAGGACCGATCTAGTGCATTTACTACACGGCAAGCTGCGGGCAACTTCGCGCAACTTATTCAAGATGGACACACAAGAGACTGCGCAGTGGTAACGTGCACAACGCTATCTTGCCTTCAGATAAAGCAACAGCATAGGCCGCCACTTCTGCTCGCCCAGCTGGTAGGAGTCAGATGCCTTTTTTGGTGGTGCGCGGTCTTATGCTTGAGGCCAAGACCAGATGGGCTTTGCCAAATCTAGGGGACGTGAGATGATATGCACCCTTCAGAGGAACATATTTTGCTCCTTCGTTTCGAGGCCCGGCATATGCTTTCTCTGCAGGAAACAGGTAGCAAGGCAATAGCAGCCATGATCACTGAACAAATATAATGTTGCTTGCAAGGCTTTCTCTGTGCTGGAGAGGACCTCCTCACCATCTTCCTGGCCCTCGTCAGCCCGGGCAGGACCTCCCAACGACAGAAAGAGTTCGCAGGTTGCGGGCATCAGCTTGAGACTTTCTCAACATGCTGGTTTCGTCTGGGTAGGGCGAGACGAAGAAACACTGTGACATGAACATCTTGACCTTGAGGCATGATGACTTCTGCAGTTCGTGAGCCTTGTACGAATATTAAACCCGGGTAGCCCAGGCTGCAGTTCATGCACAGACAACTAATGACTGACAAGGCCAGGGTGCCAAAAAAAAGATACCGTCCTGAACGACTCTTGAAACAAGTCGAAGAAGCCACTTGAAGATTCCCGCGAAACCAAAATGTCCAAGACCAACACCTCCTTATGACTTCCATTTGTGACCCAAATTTGCCTGCGTCAGCATCAGCAGGGCTGCTGGCAGAGGCAGCCTGCACCAGCTGGCCCAACCCTCCTGAGCCATAAACCTGACCTTAACCAGTATCGCAGTGCAAAGAAACCTCAGCACTCAGGCAAGCTGGCTCCAGGGAAACAGCCGTGCCTGCGCGTAGCGGTGTGCAGTTTCGGCTTGTCGTAGCGACCTCCAGCACACAATCCAGACCAAGAAAGGCACATGATAGTCACCTCTTCAAACTCTGGAGAGCTAGCGTGAATCTTATGCCTTGAAGGATCTGCGCACAAAAGGTTCAGGACCTGCAGTTTAGTGGCTCAAACTCTTTGGGCTGTTGGGGTATATTGCTCCGGAGATTGAACCCTTGTAATGGTGCCTCGGATACATATTGGTGATAAATGGCCGAATAGCTTTCCGTGGTCAACTCTTGACTTGGTGCATGGCACTCGGTCCAAAGGCGACCACTTCTTCTTCTCCTGGTTGACACTTGCAGCTCTCAGTTGCAACAAGCAAAAGAACATTTCGACTCTGATTGAAGCTATTTAGGTAGCATGTCATGTAATTAAAAGTAGAATACAGGGCAGTAACTTAGGTCACTCCCTGTGGCATTAACAGTTAACACAAGTGATAACCACCCCTTCGCAAAACTCCCTTGAGGACAGTTATTGTGAGGGCAATGACCCAAAGTAGCACATCACTGCTGTGGTTCCTCAAACTTCTACATCAGGCTTCGCGCTTCTGCTTACTATCCCGATTAGCAGAAATCCTAACTCACTACAGCTCCGGATTGTGAAAGGCCCTCACGCCTCACGATAGGAGCGACACAGAGCCAACCTCAGAGAAATAGCTAGTTGACAGAGAAAATGATCCTGACACATGGGTGAGTCTGCATGCTTAGCAGCAGGACTGGCTTGATCCCAGGAAAAGGTTTCTCAGAGAGACGATCTAGAGTTCACTGTTCTGCTCTGTCAGCATTCTTGCCTTAGAGCCGTGTCAACAAAATTGATTGGGTCTTCAATTCAGACTTGTGATGCCATCTGGCAATCCCACAAAGTGATTGTCCAAGGCAGCCAGCATGCTGCAGGCACCCCCACCGCTTCTGAAAATTGGCGCTTTGGGCCACCATTGGATCCGACTGAAGTGAGAGACCAAAGAGACGAAGAAGACATTCGGGTTTTACCTTTGGGGTACCTGAACGCTTAAAAAATGCAGAAAGGTGGTGCAAGACATGCACTGTGCCATCTGTACTGACCGGCTCCAAGCTCTGGGTCGCCCACATCTCTGCTGCACGTTCCTCGGAAAGCACACGCTCGCGAACCCAAGCTCCCTCAACTCCAACCAGAGAATTTAGAACTTGAGTTTATTTCCATGCTTGACACGAATCCTGTGCAGAAGACTCAGCGCCCCACCGCACAATCAGCACGCAGATAGCAAAGGTGTGAATTCAAGGACAATGATGGGCACAGCGCTCGCCTGTAGCACGTTGAAGGCAAGAGTGGTGATAGCAGGAATAACAGTAATGGGAGCAAGACCTTCATCACGACGGTAGCTGTCCAATAACTTGCAGAACTCAAAAATCAGAAGGCTTCATTGCCACGTTCCTGCAGTGTCTCAGTCAGATCCGTGGTGTTGCAAGAAAATCCAGCTGCATGGCTCAGTGAGTAGCATGCTTTCAACATTTTATGAGACAACTATGGACGACTCGTATCCTCACCAAACATGTCATCATGAGAAGCCCAGTGAGGACAGTTTGCAGACACGAAATGGACCCAACCCGCGAACAAGAAAACCTATCCAAAAACAAGCACAGACCACTTCTGAAATGCGGAGTTCCTTCGAAAGGAGACTCGAAGCTGAGTTGTCATTCAGAAGTTCACAAATTTGCAGGCCTCCCGACGGATCGGTAAACCTGAACCGCGTCCCTGGCATTTCGAGAGTTGTGGCCAAGGATCCTTCAGGCTTAAGACTACTTCGGGTTTGGTGAGTTTAGTATCTGTTGCTTCGTGTTTCGGGCTTGGTGCAGAGGTGCCCACATTGTGGGTTGAACAGAGCTGGTGGGTCACCTGGCTTGCAGGGGCTTCGCCAACTGGATTTGCGTGGAAGGTTCTTGTTCTTCTCTCCTCTGAGGTTGGTGTTGTGAGGTGCTTTAGGGCCCTGAGCAACCTTCATACTGACTTGAAGTTTGCGGGAGCTGAAACAAGCCTGTCATGCGAGTCATCTGCAGGAGAGTAGGTGCCCAGGGGACTGCGCAACTTCCAAGGCTGCGCAAGTTCCTAGCATTTCCTGCTAGCGTCATCTATATTTCACGCAGCCGCAGTAGTGAATTGTGAAGAACAATTCCAAGCTCAGGCCGTCACGAAAATGCGTCGCCCGCATCTTTCCATCGGAAGAGGCTAAGCAAGAACCTTGGATGGGGTGAAACACACTGGAAAGCATCAGGACTTCATGCTGCTTAATCTCCTTGCTCCCATGCAAGCAGCTTACCATGCTTCCAATTGCAAGTGCCAACAGAAGCATTTGGCCCATGTCACAACAGGTACTCAAGAAGGACAGCAATTTTCAAGGCTACCGGTAAAAATTTGCGTAAATTTGCTTGGGCTCAGAATTCAGGTGTGCGCCACGTCCCTTGCATGAGTACCTGATTATCAAAGGCCCGCAGTGTTTGATGTCTCTGACTCTGACCCTCCCACCAATCGTTGTGAAGACCCCCAGCTGGGCAGCAGTGCGTCGCTCGTCGGACATTCACCAGAAAGAGGAAGGCAGGGAGATTTTGGACGGAGGCTCCTTGGCTCAAGCTAGCTTCTACCCACGCATCTCTGCGTGAACATCCAAGGATTTTCGGATCACAGGATTTAGGGCCAACTTCATCACCGCAGGCTTGAAACTGCATGCATGGCCAGGGCCAAGGCTAATCTCTTCCAGTTCTGCAATCGCACCTGGCTACACGGGGCGATCGAAACACTCAGCGTTCAACAGTGATGACCTCAAAAATCGTGCCTGTCATGCAATTCATCAGACAGAAGGGGGGTCCTTTGTCCAGAGGTTCGCATGCCCGTTTCCTCAAGTCGGCACGTGCAATGTTGGGATTAGACTTTAACCTGTGTCAAGGGCTGCGAGTGCAGAAGCGCGTTGGGCAAATTTGCAAACGATGTCAAACAGGCAAGGCATAGCAACTTACAAGCCCGCTTGCGCTCCGTACATGCATGTCTTCTTTGCAAAAATTGCTTCAAGAAAGTTGCCGAAGGCACCTCATGTTGCTTGTGCATTTCATGGTTGTGGAAAACTTACCATGGGTATCTCAATCACAGCTCGCAACCTCAGCGTAGCATTTGCAGGGGTGTCTAAGACTAAGAAGGCAGTGAGTCGTACAACTCAAGAAGGCGTTAAACCAACGCCAGGATCTCAAAAACAGCAGCTCATAGTTGAGTTTTCCATGCCAGGATTGATGGACAAACCATCATAGTTACGCCTTCTAGATCAGGCTGTCATGTTTTCACCGGTGCCCTAAGCCCTCGTGCACTTTTCCGCGCGAGTTAGAGCCAGCAAGCGGATGAAGGTAATGATAAAAGGGGCGGGACTTTCTTACTTCACCGAATACACCGCTGCAGGATCACACCCATGCTACAATCAAAATGATCCATAATGATCCATAGCCTGAAGACAGCCGGTCTGAATCCACGCATGCAATCATCCACCTTTTTAGCCAATTCAAGCAGTCGAGATAGTGCGCTTTGCGCGCTTTACGCTAAAACTTGGCGAGTCTAGATGGGAACCTTCCCAGTGGTTGTCAGCAGGGATTGGGGCTGAAACCTGAAACCCCACAACTTCATGCGCACATCTCAAATCCAATTCCACCCCCATTCCCTACTAAGAACCAGGAAGACAAAGGACTTGCTTAGAGGCTGACATTACTGCCAAACTGCGTTGAGCAGTGTCTGTGTACGTTTCTATTCCCATGCTCACTGTACATGCATTGGACTTGAGACTTACTGAAGCTCGGATTCTCGCTTTGAGATGATGAATTCAGAGTGCCGAAATAGCGGGACGCAGATTTTTACTGGAGGCTGCTTCCGAAAGCTAAGGGCATGTGATGCCATGTGCTGACTGTCGAGATAGTTTCATAATCATCATAATGCAAGGCGCTATTCCATTATGGCGCCTTCATCTGTGCTCCACTGTCCCCAACACAAACTGGACATGCAACCAAAACTTGGGGAGGATCCCTCGACACAAATTCCTAGCATCTCACCTGGCCCTGGTTGGCTGGGAAGGCCTGTCCTTCGCCCTTCATGCGGCTTCCTGAAAAGCAAAGGCCCCTGCTGAGACGTTCAAACTACTTGTGTGTGCTTCTAGCTTTTTGTCAGGCATGGGGCCCCCCTTTGAGAAGCTCCAGCATGGTAAATGAGAGCCTACGGAGGGTTGACAGCCTCCAAGCCTGCTGACAAGGAAGTTCTGTCCTGTCTGGCGGCAGCTTGGTATTTGGGTTGAAAGTTCACAGCACAAACCTTTGCAGAGTTTGGGTCCAGAGAGAACCTTGTTCACCAGCAATCGGGCAAATGGCAAATGTGCTCTGGAGTTTAGCCGGGAACTTGTAGGGTGCATGATGTGGACCTGCTTATCCCTAAGAAACTTCGGAGATGAGAGAGGATGTCGAAACTGTCAAGCATATCGGTGACCTGGATCCTCTTGCCACGACCACTCCCGTGTCAGCTGGGAAGAAAAAGCAAACCAAGGCCCACTATCTAGAAGCTGCACCAATTCTGGTCTTGGCTTCGGGCCAACTTGGCCGTGCTCATGCACTTCTATGGGCAAGGGCCGTTCTTTGCTGTTAGGGTGCAGTTGTGTGGGATCTGCGCGCAGCGAAGTGCAGCAAGCATCTGTTCGTGACCTACCTGCATGCCACTGCAGCCGCTGCTGCATTTCTCGCGCCTGGGCGGCATCCATGGTTTTGATCAATAAGCTCAGGTATTTGGTCGGCGATCTCTTGCTCAAGCTGTGCAAGTGAGACTCAAGAAGCAGCCCATACACCAAAACACGAACGAGTCTCTGCCCCTGCCTGCCCCATGCCTTGTAACCTTTCAGAAGAAGGCCCTTTGTCTCGACTGAGGCCAGGACTTAGCTAACCGGACAAGAGGGCTCGTCCATGCCGCGCATTACCATCTCTAGGGCTCGCCTGGGGCTGCTTGCATGAACCATTCGCAGGGTTCCGTTGGTGCGCAACGGGAACACCATTAAGACAAATCTCAACGACGACACAATGCTGAAAGATGGTATGATTTTGAAATTCCTGCAACATCCTCAAAAAAGCACAGGCTTTCAGAACTTCCCAGCCCTACCAAAAATTAAGTAGTCCAAGAGCTGGTGCATGCCCTCCACTCCGCCCGCCGCGGAGAGCGAGATCTGCATCCCAGGGAGGCCTGGAATGATGATCCGGTGGCTGACCTGGGAGGGATAAACAGAGCAACAGGGTGATCTTTTGCGGGGACCACTGAGCATGCTGAAGTTTCTAACGATCATGCACCGATCTGAAAGAGATCTTACATTGGCGAGCCCCCACCTTCAGGATATACTTTTGTGATTCTCGCCATTCCTCTTCATGCCTTCGCTATGCCCAAGTAAAGTAGGTTGTCAGTGTTCTGCAGTAGTACGGTGGTTTGTGAATTGAGCTTGCACCCCCTCGACACTGGGATACTGGGATAATTCCCAAAAACAAGGTTGCTGAGGAGCATTTTTCTTGTAAGCGTCCTTGCACTGTAGATGGGTTCCTGCTTTATGGAACTCCTTCTTCTAACCCAACAAATTCTCCAGTGAAGTCTCCTGAAAACCAAGAAGAAAATTCTAAACCCTGCACCCGAACCCATAACTTAGGGCTGCTAGACTGCCACCGAAAAGACTGTCCTGCGCATCCAAAACTTTAAGCCAGGAGCAGAGGTCGTCTGCTTCAGCTCGGGCAAAGCCTCGACCTGATGACGGCTTGCGCTCAGACACGTCCAGTTTAGGCATTGACCTCAGCCCCGGGGCCCCGTGATGCAAGCATAGTTTTGCCTAAACATATTCAAGCAAGGCTGAAGTGCAGGAATTGCACCTCCTCTTCCAAGCCCGGCCGGCGGAACTCCGGCGGGGTGGCCTGAGAGACAAAGAAACCACAGAGCGTTGAGAGGCTGATGTTTGAATGTGCCCGTCCCTTGAAAGAATATCCTTTAGTCAATCGGCCTCAAACCCAAACACCTAGCCACTCAAAACGCTTGCCCTCAGCCAGTGAACCCAAAAAAGCCGATGCCTGGCCTGAAAGAGGCAGACCCCCCATCGGTAGGGCGGCACCTCCTGGGGAGGGAAGAATATCAACCGACAGCGTCTGGCAGCCTGGATTCTTCGGGGCGCGCCTTGACCATTACACTTACACTGCTGATGTTCAAGTTCAAGGCTTATGTATGAAATAAATTACATTGAGGTCTGGCTTTTGCCGGATATCCTTGGAAGCAACATCTTGGCGAGACTATGATGTCTCGTCAGCCCCAGCTGCAAAACCTTAAACGCAGTCCTGCACGCGAACGTTGGGCGTCTCTTCCAGATGTACCCGCTCATCTGGCACCCAGCCATCTGCTGGACAGTATCGCGTGTCCTGACTATCCAGCAGAGCACCCACTGGCTTGATGTCGTATGCCATCTTGCTCCATGTGTCAATGGCCTAGCATGCCCTGCAACGCTTCAGTTATGAAAGTCTATGAGCTAGCGACTCTTTGACCACTGCTGACTTTGATTGTGCATGATTGTGCAGAGTAGCTGCAACTCCGAGAAGTTCAGCTGCCAAATCCCATATATTAACGAAGGTGAACCCATATGACAAAATTTACATCATGCCGGGCTGCTACAAAAGCGACCATGAGGTTGTGGATCAGGGGTTGGGGCGACGGATCACTTTGGACCAGTGTATCAGGACCAAGTGACAGAGCACCAGAGGACCTGGGAACCTGAGCCACACCTACGAAAAAAGAACACCCCAAACTGTCAGCCCGAAGCTTCATCTGAGCCCACAATCCCCCCATCCTGTCTGCTCTTGAAGACGCAAGCTTCCTCAGGTTGGCTGCTGTTCCCGGCACCGTAGGATGCAGTAGTTTTTCAAAATAAGGGAACCCCAAGATAGACCCTGATATACTATAGTCCTAATTAAAGGGATCCCAAAAAGGCACCCCTAATTTTAGGGAACCTCCATGAATTTTATGTTTCAGAGATTACTTGGCTTCCGCGTTAAGTTGGAGTGACTTCACAGTACGCACAAAGACTTTCAGCCAAGGAGCCGATGATCCCTGCGGGCCGGGAGTCGTCTGGTACAGCGCCCAACCGTTTTTCCTAAGCAGAGGAATGCATCTGTCCAGCAAACACTAAGAAAAGGAACCCTCAAGTACCCAATTTGCCTAAAAACAATACTCACTGAAACACAGACTGCTAAAGCGCCTAGGCGCTCGTCCCACTTGATGATGAATGGCACACCATCGGTCTCAGATGCGGAGGATTTCCGGGATAACAGACGAATAGTAAATGGCCGAAAAAATATGCAATTTCTGGAGCGAAGATGGCACTATTCTGTCCGAGTTGCTCTGAGGTATCGTGGCCTCATGGCCAGGAAAGGTATAGGTTTGAAATACTTTGATCCTGATTAGATGGTTGGACTTTCTGGCCTCAGAATAAACAGATTTGCTGTTCCTCTGCAAGCAACCGAACAATGTAGCGGCAGCATCTCCAAAACCCTCCTCTATAGTCATCATTTGAAGCAAAATTAGATGCCTGTCTAATACAGCCCGATGCCCCCAACTGTCAACAAGGCAGCTGGATCAGCAGTGAGCCTGCTCGGGACAGGAACGCTCGTTTGAGCCTCCTCGCTCGCTGCTGCGGTGGCTACAGCGGCTTCCTCCTACTTGGTCAACTTACAGGCCTA